AACTAGTGTTTAACAGATGGCAACCTGCAGGAGGTGGAAAGATCAACACCAGCACACCTAAACACATGAAAATACATATTTTAACAGTCATGCTAATGCTATGGTTACAAAGGATTTGAAGGTTTCCTGTGAGGCTCTCTTCAATGATATAATGTTTTTGGAGGGAGCGACATCTAGCCAGAGAGGTGAGAGAAAGTGCGGCCTTGTTGTCTGCTATGGTTTCTAATATTGCAGAGGTAGTTCTTCTGCGGCCAAGCAGCACCATGTGACGGTAACTGGATCGCCACACAGCTGCAGCCGCGGGCACCGTCTGTCGTCCCCAAGGCTGCTGGAATAGCGACAAGGCAGCTCTGCACACATGCAGGCATACAAACACTGTCCATGCATACACCAGTGTATGGAAAAACCCAAATGGTACAGGATGGGGCTAAGTGGGGTGGTGCGGGAGAGAACTCTACCCTGCCTGTTTCAAAGATGTTTTTAAAGCTGTGAAATTTCTAGCCCAACCGAGGCAGGCTCCGTTACACACAGGGCTGTCTTTTAAAGCGAGGGCTGGTGTGTTTGTTCTTCTGTTAAATGAAGGGTGGCGGTGGGCAGACGGGAACCAAACTACAGTCAATTAGGAATGTCTCTCTCTGAGGGCAGACCAGACACTTGTTCTCTATTAAAACCTTGTTGTTTCTACTTGCTTGGGTGACTGTTGCTGTGCATTCATGGAACAACTGGGACAGATTCACTACTTATAGTGAAGTAAAGAAAGTAAAGAAAACGAATAAACCTTTGGACTGATTGTGTAGAGTAAAACTGTTATTCTCTTGGTACATAACAAACAGGTGTAAGTGTCTGAGTAGCCTTACACACTCAAAGCCGCACCAGAATGAGGTATGGGGGGGCATCCGGCCTTATATTTTTTAATAGGCTGGTGAACTTTTTAACCTCAACTTTCTTACAAAATCTGCTTTGCCTACTTTTTTTGTACAAATAAAATATGATAAGAAATGCCACCCTCTTCTCATCATGTTTTTGACCAAGTTTGCTCTTGTTTTTTCTTCATTCTTGACCTAGAAGCACAGCCTGACCAGATTTACTTCGGTTGACTACTAGAGAAATGTGGATTGCGTGTTGTTTGTCCATCCATCAATCATTCATATCAAAATCTTCGTACTTGATTTCCGACTTTTAAAACGTACACTAAGTTCAAAATGTATAGCCGAAAACATATTTTTATAACACTGTCAAAAACGGATTAATTATTCTTGGTTCTGTTGTCAAGTGTCTAAATGCATTTCATCATTGGGTGGACAAACGTTTTATTAATGGTTTGGTATTTTAAATCCTGAAAGGCTCCAGGCTCATTTTCGATTATAGTTGAAGGTAAAGGCCCCTTTTTGTGTTGGAATGTGTGCTAGTTGTGCCTCACAGACGTAGAATGTTGACTTCTAGATACTGAATCTTTTTTTGCGTGGTCATTGTATGGCATCATAATGATTGTGTGCTAACTGAGGTGATGCCATTTAATGAGATGATTTCATTACTGGCATGTATCCACAAATCAAAGCTAGATTGCAGTATCCCCGTCTCAGACACATACAGCTGTAGAGTAACGTTACACCAGTAGCTACCAAACACCAGAGAGCACAGGGTGGGACCGGGGAGAATCCAAAGTGTGTGGCAAGTTGGCAGACAGATCAAACGCTCTGCCCTCATACTCAGTGTTGCAGAGACTTTGTTGGAATAAATAGACAGAATACTGCCTGGAGTGTAATGATAACGTACATCAGCACACCAAAGATAGCAGCTTTGCAAATAAACATCCTAACAAATTAAACCAAGAAATTCAGGTATTTGTCCCCGGGGAAAGGGAATTTAGCGTTGTCTTGACTGTGAATGAATACTGCCCAGGAAGAAAGTTTATTAGAGCACTGACACAGCTAACACTGAACAATTTATATTACTGTTTTGAGCAAGTAACACATACAAAATTGTAAGTAATTTTGTGTTATTAAGTGGGTAATTTCCTCCAGTACTTTACCTGAATAATGTATCATCACTGCCAATTAGTTCAGCCAAAAACGTTTCAATATTGTAGCAATTGTATTGTTGATGGATTTTAAAACAAATCTTCTTTAGTATATATTGTATAATGTAATTGGTTTAGGGTTGGAGTAACCCTAAAAGTGATTTAAAAAGGCTGCTAAATGAATTCAATTCAGCAAAACACCTGCAAGTTACTTCAAAAGCAGGTTTTATCGACCACTGACTGCGAATACAATTGATTGGTGTAAATAGTGCTAAAGATAATAAGTTACGTTGGCTTCCTGAGTTTGAGGCCCCTCAATAGTCAGCACTGTCAAAACGCCCTGCTATTAGTGACCAAATACCATAGCGTCACCATATAATACCAAAACAGTCTTGGAATGAAGACTTTGTAACATTCCAATGTAAATGATACGCTTCAGAGCTTCAGAAGCAGACAATGATTTGAAAAATAATGTGAGCAGGTATTTTTCTTTAAATTCAGTCTGTCATAAAAAGGGTACTCGTCGAAGAAGGGAGTTCTTTGATACCAAATATCCCATAAAAACACTTTGTAATTCACAAAGCTGCTCTCTCAGAAGGAAACGACCTTGCCACACTGAGACATATGTTCTTATTACACTAGTATTCTGTAATGAGGACAGCTGGCAGGGTGATCAAAGGCTTTCCACTGAACCCTGATACTAAATGTTGCTGATGAGCTGTCCAAGGGGAGACTGATACGTAGATCATACCAAACAACTAGAGAGGTCTGACTGCTTTAGCATTCAATCTAAGGGAGGCAGGAGTCCTCTGTAAAACTTAGTTCAGGGAGAATTTACCTTTCCATGCACGTCTGAGTCTGTACACAGCTTGTTTAAACACTGCAAGGCGGTAAAGGACATGAAGTGAATGGGAAAACAGAGATCATTTTGATACTTGTGTTGTATGCAGCAGGAGTGTGATGGCTACACACTAGGCCAGGAACAGGCAAGTGGCAGCCAGCTAAAGATGCCAATGCTTGGTTATCCAATAGAGAAGAGAGAGGATAGAACATACATTAACAGGATGGAGGTCATGGAAAATAGTTTTAAAGAAGCTGGTACTCATGTATCGTGTTGGCTAGTTCTGTGTTAATATCTCCCCCACCCGCCAACTCTTCTCTTTATTTCCCCCCATCTTTTAAATCCCTGCTGTTATGAGTCTGTATGATGAAAATATGAAGATCAGAGCTACCAACGCCAAAGCAAAGCTTTTCTACCCTGAACACGGTGAAATCAATCCTGCTGAAATGGAAATGAGGCACAACAAGAGAATCAAGAGCAAGAGCGCCAGAGGTGGGCGACAAAAAGCTGAGGGGTGGGGGAGGAGAAGGGTTTGGGCTGTTACTAATTCAAAAACATGTTTCAACCTGTTGAAAATGCCTAGTCGGCAAACTGGCCTTGATCCAATAACCCCCCACATGTCCTCTTTCTCCCCTACTCTCCCTTAGCCCACAAAGGGAAAATGTTAATAAACTGGTGATTGTAGATTGAATCAAACCTTTCCAAAGAGCAGAGAACATTAAAGCTAATCTGCCTGTCGCTAGCAGAGTCTTAACAAGGACAGGGGACGTGCATTACATTTTTAGAGCGGGTCGCTATCTATTAAGCCGCCACACATCACGTCTAAGGACACTCCAGAATGAAGCATGGGGGAACTGGATAAATGAGCTTCTCCACCAGTTTTGCCGGGGGGTAAATTGATTTACATCCTCTGTGTTATTCTTCACAGAAGTCGATAATGACTTCTGTGAAGAATAACCCCTTTGTGACTGATGCTCATCTTTTTATCATCATAGGGAAAATGGTAATTTGCTCTCTTTTTTTTTTTCAATGTGGTAAAATCACTGCAGATGGTGTACATAAAAAAAACAATGGCACAATGTCAGTGCGTTCAGGCTCACAACCTCATCTTCCTTTTGTTCCGATCTCCCCTCTCTGTCTGTCTGTGGAAAGACAGGGAGAAAGGCATTCTGATATGCTGGTAGATACTTGCAAACAAACACACAGAGCGGCGCGCTATCACCTCTGTGTTGACGCCACAAGGTCCAGAGTTGTCAAAAGTATCTGACCCCCATCTCAGCAAGATAACTACACAGAACAAAACAAAACCGGAGGAGAGAAAAAGTGGAAAGTGGATAAAGATCAAATGCGTGTTCAAACAAACTCAGCCAGCATCAGGCCCGGCGTACAATAAAGAACAATGTTGCCTAGGCAACGCTGGCACCCACCCATTCCCCCTTTGGTGAATCTTTCCCATCTTCCCTCATTGTGTTGGGGTGATGAAACGACACTCTATTAAATATTAAACAGTGTGTCATATGATGAGTACATTTGAGGTTGTACAATCAGACTACACTCTGACAAAATGTCAACAATAGAGCTTAACAATAAATAATGAATACATATTTGTCTGTTGGCAAAATAAAAAAAAATTGCTAGAAATAACAAATGCAGATAAATCAGAGCTTTATATTGTTTCAGCTATTTCTGAGCAATTACAGTTTTATTGTGTGAATATCTTTACTTTCAAATGTCTTCTTTACCTTATGATCCTTCTTCCAGCGATAGTTTTTTTTGTGAGAAAAAGAGAGATTTTTTAAGCAGCATCTGGTTTGTTTTTACACCCTAATGCCCGAGAGTATTGCAAAGATCAGCCAACCAGATCTACACTTTGATTTAAAAAAATCAATGCACAAAGTAAAAAAAAGAGCAGAAGTTCAAACGCTACTTGACTTTTTTATAGACTTTGTTTCATGGCTGTTCTTTCTTCTTGCAGGAAAAGAGAATATAATATGATTGATGTGAAAGCTTCAAGGCAGAATGGTTCAGTGTGTTTTAACGCTGACGAGAGGAGAATAAAAAAGGGTTATATTTTTAAAGTGTTTAAAATAATCAACAGGCATATCAATCTATTAATCAATGACATATATACGACAAGTATAATTTGTATATATTTTAATGATATTTCAAATGTAGCTAAATAGTTCTTTATGACAAATTTAAAAAAGTTATACAAAGGCTGTGATTTATATTCTTGAATGTGTTAATATATACTTCACAACCACCCCTTATCAAAACATTGTATACAACAGGCAATTATTATATTTCACTCAACATCAATTCTTAGTCTGCACATTACCAGAGTGCATTGCCCTGCTTTCTGTTTGCCCGTCAGGCCCTCAGCAGAGCCTCCACTGAGAAAGGTAATGGCCTCACAGCGGGGGTCCTGACTGAGCTGCCATTAGAGCTCTTGACAGGGTCGCCATGAGGAGCTGCCTGGTCTCCGGGGGGCTCTGCACACCACCCCTTAGCTGTCAGAGGTCTGGGATCAAAAGTCCTGCTGGGTGCACTGATGTCTGGCCTGACCACAATACCGTGATCAGATCCAAAAATAGAGCGTGTGAGGTGTGAACAGCCATTTGAGTCCATTATTTCTGTTGGTTTTGAGGAGGATTTGACAGAATCTAGACCTGACACGGTGCTGCCATGATGTTTGAGTCTTCGAGATGTTAGAGGCGTCAGCTCTAGACTATCTTTCTTCTCACAACCTCTACAGCTGTTCTGCACCTCCTCATCCTCCTTGGTTTGCTCTGAGTATAAGAAGTTGTTATAGTCTTCTGCAGCAGACATGCTTTTTAGGTGAAGGAACTGATAGAACTGGAAGTCACACTCATACAGAGGCTTGTATTTGTACACAGGCACGTAACTGGACGACCCTGCAGAGGTGGGGTCTTTGTTGAGAAGACAACAGTGGAGGCTGGGGGAGGCAGGCAGGGGCGGTGGGTGAAGCATGGGGGTGAGGGCAGCGGAGGAGGAGAGGGAAAGTTCGCTCTGCAGCTCTCTCTGCCTCAGCTCCCGCTCCAGCATCACATTCTCAAGCTCCTTGTCTGCGAAGGCTCTCCTCTTCCTCATCCGGGCGCTCATCTGGGGACACGTAGGGTGGGTTTGGCCCCCCGGTGTCTGCTTCGACCAGCAGGAGGTGTAGTCCTCCACTGGCACTGCCGGTTTGAACCCTGCACAGAAAGCAAAGCCTCATGCTGTTGTCATTTTTTTGTTGTCATATTTCATTAATGAATGAGTTCCAACAAATTAATTATTATGTTTTCGCTTGAGTACTTTGTTCTTTATAATTTAAATTAGTCAGCGTTGTCATTTTTGTTTTAATGACAGGCTGCAAGGGCTATAAAGAAGAGAAAGCCTGTTGCAGGATTTGACTGCATGCCAGCAGGTAATAATACACACTATGTATTACAGTAATGGGCCTGTTGTTGTGAACTAGTGAAGCCACAGTGATCTGTCTAGCTTACATCAATGAAGTGTGTGTAATGCTGGGTAATGACATCCAAGAAGAAGCACTGGCAGTGTGGGCCATAGCAGGGCTTTAAAATGCAGCTGCAGTTACACATATACGCTTGTGTGAAGGTATGTGTGTCTACTTGTGTGAACACATCTGTTTGTTTTGGAACATTGTGGGGACACAGCTTTTCCCAACAAAGTCCACATCTTTTTTTTTGGGTTAAGACATGGTTTCTGGATGAGGTTAGATCAGGCTTAAGCTATAGGACAAAGATTGGGGCTGTATGTGGACGGGTTACAGTTCATGTTAAGGTAGTTCCCCAGCCAGATAATCAGTGTCCTAACAAATCCTAACACATATTTATCTGATTTATATAGTTTTTTTCTGTAATTGTGCCATACCTCTAACAAAGGCTACTTTTAGTGTTGCATTTGAGAAAAATATGCAATAAAAGTATAATATTGTTATTTTTAATATTACACAATTATGTTATATTGCAACATATCTTACAATAAATAAAGAGTTGTGTACTCAGTCTTGCCTTTCATTTTTACAAATATTATTTTCAGACCAAATTAAACATTGAAATGAACTGGTACTTATACCAATGAGTAGGCCTATAACATTGCAGTTATTAGGATGACGATAGAAAATCTAATATTTTTATTTTTGAAGTTTTAGTAACTTTGACTTGTAAATGTTTTTGTACCAACGCACCCTGGACAAGAGTTAAGGCAGGTCAGCAAGCAGTGAATAATTTCCTTCACTGAAATATTGTTAATCAATTTAGGATCTTGCATGAATTCAAGATACATTTTATATATATTTATTTATATATATATATATATTTTATCACAGTAAAAAAAAAGGAAGAACATAAATGACAGAGGAGAGGAGATGTTAATTAAAATATACCCAGCAGGATGCTCTTAGCCAGTATGCTCGGTTCGACTGCTCTCGTGTAACGCTGATACGCAGTCCTCCTCAACGGACCTGCACACCTGACCCCCCTCTTACCCTGCGAGAAACATGGGAACAGGAATTAGACATTGGATCATGATATTACACTGAGGCTGTGCTCCAAAGGTTAGTACAGATAATTCATACTTTATGTAAGCGATGAGTATAGCTCTTTGAAAGTGTAAGATTTAATAATAAGTGAGATTCACCCTGTTGATATTAAAGGAATATAATTATTAGGTGTAAATGTTAAGTATTTTTTTTTAAGAGGAGCATGAATTGGATTTAAACTATCCATATTTGTATATTATTTTAACATTGTATTGTTATACATTATTATTAAAATGTCACATTTTGCCTTCAGGTGTAAATGCAGACAGAATGCAAATTGCTGTTGCAGTAAACCTTATAACTGCAAGGAAATTATTTTAAAAAAATACACTCAAGACAATCCTTTCTTTGGGGGATGTTTAAAGATTGACTTATTAATGTTTTTTTTTATTTGTTCATTTTGATGGCTCCTTTGTGCCTTTGTGTGTGTGTGTGTGGTGTGTGTGTGTGTGTGTGTGTGTGTGTGTGTGTGTGTGTGTGTGTGTGTGTGTGTGTGTGTGTGTGTGTGTGTGTGTGTGTGTGTGTGTGTTAAATGTACAAAATGGGATCAATTTTGGACAAAAAGAAAGTTTTGTTTAATATAAAAGCTAAAAAAACAACAACACATGCTTTACTTTATAGCTCTTATCGACAATTGTTTGTATTGACTTCTGTCACACATTGTTTTTGGAAATATATATAATAGTAATAATTGTGTAAAATCAACCTTGCATATTTATTTTAATCATTTTTCCAAACGTGTACAAATGTTTCGTTATTACTAGCTATGTGTTATTTAATAACAATAGCTATATTCTGACCTGTATTCTACCATCATGCATGAGCCATTCAACGTAGGCTACTTTAGTTAATTAATTAATCAATAATCCCCCCCCTACTCTGATTTTAACCCTCAATTATCACTCTTTAATCATTTGCCTCTTGATGATCATCGACTTAAGCTTTAACCATCTGTTAGTTCTTCAGCATGTCTCCATCACCCACCTGCCCCTGTGCGCCCCTCACCTCCGCGGCTTGCTGCCTCCTCAGAGCGACCTGCGCCGCCATGACTCTCTGCCGCTCCACCACCAGCAGGCAGCAGGGACAGCGACAATCCCTCCAGCGGCAGAAGCGTTTGTGGCCTTTCAAACACGAAACGACGCCGTGGTTCCGACAGCGGGCACATTTGGGGCTCCGGGTCATCTTGCGTGGTTTCTGCTGATGGCCCTCCGGAGACAGCGCCACTTTAGTCTCCTCTCTGTCCACGCGGCAGCTGCGCCGCTCCGCGCATCCGTCAGAGCTTGTCACGTCAACTTCCTCTTTGGATTTAAGTTCTTCAAGTTTTGCAGTATTCTCCAGCTGCAGGCCTCCTTCCAACTGAGAGGACATCTATGAGTAATAACACCGGAATCTCACTTTTAATCCGTGGATCACGACGTTTCTTCTGACGCAGGGCAACAAGATGAAAAGGGTTTCGAAACAAATTTGGATTGTTAGCCTACTTAATAAAACGAATTAACTCTAAAAACAATCCCTCGAAGAAAGAGGATAAATCACAACTGGTGTTGTTTTACGCATACAATTCAAACTGTGCTGCACTGAAACGTAGTTTAAACAGGTTGAAGTAGGCTAAATCAGTTTACATCGGATTAACACGACGCATAAGAGTATGATTCCGGGTTTAGAGTCTGTGCCCCTCAATTTGACATCACATTGATTCCCGATGATCACCAAGCCGTGAGGTGTGCTGTCCTGCCTGCTGCTGCAACATCACGTTGTTTTCAGGTTGGAAACTTTGCAGCCTACCGCCAGAAGTTTGAAGTGTCTCACCTCTCTCAGCTGCTCGCTGACGCTCTTTCCAAGAATAAGATCATAGTAGACCGGGCCACAATGCAGACCTCATGGGGAAGGACCCGTGACCAAAGATTTAGAGGAAGCCCGTTTGTTGCAAATGCAACTCCCTCTCCCTTTAAACCCTACCTGCCCTGCACGGCCCACCTTCAAAGTTGTATTCAGATTTCCAAATATCTTGCCAGTCCCAAATCTCCTTATTATTATAGGCGAGAGATCCCCATGTAAAGAACATAGCAGTAGGCCTATGCCAAAAGCATTTAATTAATTGGCAAAATTCCTTAACATAATTCAACAATTTACACATGTTAACAAGAGTAGTAGCCTACATTCTCCACTACAATTCATAATTATAATCGTTTTTTGTTATAATCGTTATTAGTGGAATAATTCAGAGATTGGCATGGAGGGTTAAAGGCTAAAACATAAAATTACCTTTTGTGCCCGTTAGGCTGCATATATATGTGTGAGTTGTGTGTTTTACCAGACTGATACAATATGGAGTAATTATGCACGTGCCTTGGGGAGAATAGCCTGGTTGGGAAATGAGAGGCAGACAACGGAGAGAGAATTACATTTTCATAATACCTGGGAGTCTTCACACTCATTTATTAATGTTACTTTTAAATAATCCAATGATTTAATGGGTCTCTTGATGTTTAGTGTCACCATTTCTGTGCCAAACAGAATAATTAAAACCACTGAAATACATAAAACATCCCCCTGAAAGCTTTTGTAGGCATGTGTTTTCAACACTGGTTCACTTGGAGCGAATTATAATTCTCACCTTTCTGAAAATTAATGCAATACTGATCTCAGGTAACTCTTATGTGATGCAAAATACGCTGTTATTAATACTTTTCTTAATGTATTATTAAGACAGGCTTCTTTTCTCGTCCTTAGACTGTGTAGGGTCAATAATGCAAACAGTGATTTTCATTGTGGTGATATGCTGCACTCACTTCCTCTTCAGTGTCCACTTAATGTCAATACAGCACAGTTTAGTATTCTGTTTGAAAATGACTGATGTTTCCATTACCCAAAATACAGCGCCGGAGAATCCACTGGGATGGTATGAAAAGTGTGCTCCCTACTGGTTCAATCCTGTAGTTACACCCAGGGTATTTCTTCCAGGGTAAGTGATTTCCATTTGTATAACCTTCCAAGGCCACAGGCATTTATTAGTCAGATCTCCACAATGTCGCCAAATTAGAAAAATACACATACATTTGCTCTCCTCCACAGGGCCTTTAAATATATATATTCACAATAAATGTAATTTACATTCATATTTATATACATACACACTCACACATACAGTTTATCCATCTGTAAATATATATACATACTTAGATTATATCCATGTGTAATATTATGTGCTATTACTGAGAGACATATTTACTGTGTTAAAAAAAAAAAAATGTCATGATGCCTAAACCAACATAAAAGCCAACCAAAGGTGTAAAAGTCTAGTCCTTGAGCTGTAAATAATATGTGTACATTTCTTTATATATACAGTCTATGGTACATTTACAACACTGTTTACCAGTTTGTACCCTTAGTATCTCAGGCTCATGGTCTCAGATGGCAAAGGACCAGTCCCTTTTGGTCATGATCCGAGGATAAACACTGGCCAGAAGTGCCCTGCCGTCAGATTTCAAGATGTTTTCAGCTCATAAAAAGTTAAAAAGGTAAAATGTTAGATATGTAGGAAGGATAGCCAGAGCCAGCTGTGCTTCAGAATATATAAACAAGTCAGTCAATGGATATAGTGTAGCTATATTTTGATAATTTAACAATTTGACAGCAGATGTCATATTGACTGGTATTTAAAAGAAACCTATCATGCTATATTTAAATGATATATTGTAGGGCCATACCTATATAAGGTATATTTATACGTTTCTGTTTTCAAAATACCAAACAGATCATGCATTTTAGCCATGCCTCATTTCACTCTATGTGCTGTTTGCTGTCTACGGGTCTGATTCTGCTGACCACGCCCCCCTGCAGGAGAGGGGAGACGTGCTCTGATCAGCTGCTGGGCTGTCAGAAGAGGGGGAGAAAAAGAGATCTCCGTCCTCCGTGTTTTATTATATAGAGTCGTTATTCATTTGTTTTAAAGCTCAATAAATAACAAAGAAGACCTTTGACCGGCACTTTTCTAATTTTGTCCGGAAGATTTATCAAATCAAATCAAATCAGGTTTTATTTATAAAGCACATTTTAAAAGCGATTTTTGGTCGAGCCAAAGTGCTGTACATGTAATAAAAAACACATTACTACAAAACACAATAAACAACAATAAATTACAACAGATATAACTATAACAGATATAAAACACACAGAAAAGTCAGGAGTCATGCTCCGCTCTAATTAGAAGGCCAGAGAGAAGAAGTGTGTTTTTAATGTGGATTTAAAAACCCCTAGGGTCTGGGCCGACCTCACATGGAGGGGCAGAGTGTTCCAGAGCCTGGGGCCAGCTGCTGCGAAGGCTCGGTGCCCTCGGGTTTTTAGCCTGGTCTTGGGCACTACCAGCAGCAGCTGATCAGCAGACCTTAAAGCTCTGGCTGGGGTGTAGCGCTGGAGCAGTTCAGTTATATAGGCCGGAGCCAGCCCATTTAGGGCTTTAAAAACAAATAAAAGGACTTTAAAATCAATTCTGAACCGAACTGGAAGCCAGTGTAATGAGGCCAGAATAGGGGTGATGTGGTCGCGCTTTTTGTGACCAGTCAGTAAACGTGCAGCCGCGTTTTGGACTAGCTGTAAGCGTTTAATTGAGGCCTGGTCCATACCCACATACAGAGCGTTACAATAGTCCAGTCTCGAGGTTACAAAGGCTTTAAACTTTAACGGACATCTTGACCGGCGAAACAAACTGAAACTGAAACTCTGCCGCACAGTCCCCTCGTTCCTTGGAAGAGGCGGAGAGGTGGGTGTTTGTCATCTGCTGGTGGACTAACCGGAGAGAATTGCAGTGCTTGCCTCGACGGGGAGGGATTGCATTGCAGCGGGAGCAAACGCTTGCCTCGGGGAGGGAGAAAGAAAGCCACAGCGGAGAATAAACAGAAGGGTAACCATGGTAACCAAGTCTTCTTCGCTGCTTTTGTGGCAGACTACAGCGCCACTTACAGGCCTGGCATATGTACTACAGCGTCTCCAGCGCTTTCGAACGGCAATGGCCGTGGCTGTCTCCTCCTGATTGGTGGAGTTGGCCCAATAGCCGTAGCGCCACCGTCCTGACGTGAGGACAGTGTTCAAATCTGGATCAGTTTTTATCAGATCCGTTGCAGCCCCTTTTTTAGAGATTTGGGTATGGAGGAAAATAGAGAGGGTTGTGTTTTCTGACACTTGGTGAGTTCCCTGGAACACCGGGGACACATATTCATGTATAAAAGACGTACAAAAGTGCATTTTGCATGATAGGTCCCCTTTAAGTAAGTTACTTTCAAGAGATGTAAAATCAGTTAAACACTGTGTCTTACTATTGTCAAACAGAAACCTTTAGTATATAGACTGAGGAGTGGTAGTGTTAAAGGAGCCAACACTTTAAAATACTGAGAGCATTTTACTCTCGGTGAAACTCCACCTTTCAGGTGAAAAGCAGCAGCTGGGCTGACCCCATATGTATCAAAGGATGCACTCAAAGGAAGCAAGGAAGGCAATATCAAAGCAAGCTTTTCCCAGGGACTTCAGTTCCCAAGGGGAATGGTAATAGCCAAAGGCTATTTCACACCCACACACACGTCCAGAATTACTCACAAATGAAAAAAAAAAACACATGACGTCTTGCACACAGTCTAAGACAGTTCCACAAATCACCAAGTAGAAGATTGCACTCCTTTTCCTACGGCAAATATGTTTCTGTTAACAATGTCCTTAAAGCTGCACTATAGTGTTTGGGAAACATTAACTCATTTGTTTGTTTACCTTTTTAAATGCTAAATGGCCAGATGGCCAGTGCATTGCCTGTACATTATGGATAAGACTACTTGATTGCAAAACAGGATGTGGTGGGGTGGTGTGTTTAAATACTATTATTTATAATAAATTAGATGTTAAAAGGAGATAAAGGACCGACAACACCACAGGACAAACTGTAAGGAAGCAGCAAGTGAGCATAACCGCATAACACAGCAGAGATTTAGGAGACCATAACAGACACAGCCAAAGGAAAGAACAAAGGCCAACAGGTGCCTTTTTTAAGCAGCCCTAATGAGAGCAGTGATTGGGTGAGGATTCAGGCCTTGAACTGCATTAACCTGTTAAGCCCAGAGCCTGTTTTTCAGGTCTCAGGCTCGAAAATGACATTCCCAGAACAAATTACCATATCTTCCCTTCTAAAAGGGTTAAATTAATAATCTTTTTTCTCAAAGTAATGATAAACCTGTGAGTTGGATGTAGAAAAGTCAGAATCAATATAGTAGTTTTTTATTTTAAAGAAAATTCTGATTTTCCATAGTAAAAAACTGTAAATTATAGTGTCCGTCCAAAAATAATGTTTTACTTATAGTGAAAACCACCCTTGGATGATGGGTTAGTAGACTAAAAGCTTTAGGAATCCAAAGTACAACATATAATAAGTACCCTGTATCAAGATTGATGCAAAACAAGTGACATTTGACCTTTTTAGAGAGATTTAGTAAAAAGAAACCACTTCTGGGGTCATTTGGGTGGATTTTCCATATCTCTGGCTTCCCTTGCTCGATTTTGATGGTTGACACCTCTTTCTGACCGTTAGAGCCAATAGAATCGAAGGGGGAGTCCCCCACACATACACGTTGTGAAGAGAAAAGGTGGGGGCTTCGCGCATGTAATTTTCCATCAGAGTGAACCTATCTCTAGCTTTGACATCTGGAAATGTAAAAGCAGTTTTAATGCTTATGGATTATCAGAAATCATTTCAAAGGGACACAGACACATTAGATTAACCTATGGATTAACTTCAGCAGCGTTTTTATCGTTTTAATGCCATTGAAGACCACTTTGGAGAGACTACAGAGCCAAGGTAAAAATGTTAGCATTTTTAGCTACCTAGCGTCACCTGTTTTGATGTCCGTGTTTGCTTATAACGTCGCAAATACAT